GCAATAAAGAAAAATGTGGTGCCATTAATGTGATGATTAAATTGGTGTCTGGGGGTGACATCGTGAAGAACAAGACACTCACAGCAGACCCCATCCCTACCTCCCCCATAGCCCTGACCTGTGCAGGACCTGGCAGATGTTTGTTTGCAAATGACTTCAGGGCAAGTTCTGTAGATCCTGGGACGAGTTCCCCTCTTGCTAGCCTACATCACTATTTGCTGCCATATTTGAGTTTCATTGGGATGTTGTAGCTGGTTGGGTTTTTTTATGGCTGGAGAGTTTGATCTTGACTTGGAGGGCAAGTCACTCCTTGGCAAATGGGATCCTGTTGCAGAGACGTTATTTCCTCACCCAGTGTTCTTTGCAAACAAGGTTTTGCAGAAACTGAGCAGCTTTTTCTCCTTCCAACTGACAGCCTCTTCCTAGTCCCTTTTAAAGGTTTGAATTGGATGCTGAGAGCCATGCATAGGCAGGGAGCAAACATCTACCATGGGCTGGGTGGGAGAGGCAACAGAAGTCCTGACAATCAACCCTGGGAGACCGAGGGGGCACCTTAAATCAACCTGTGAATGCAAAGTGGCTCTGAACCAAGGGTAGGGGAGAGAGGCCGTCCCTGCACAGTGCCGTTTTGGAAATTAATAAATAGATACCAAAAAGTGACTTCTTGCTGCTTGGGAAGATGCTCTGCATCCATGATCAATTTAAATGTGCTTTGGCTTTGGAGAAGGTCTTGCTGTAGCTGAGGGGATCCCAAGCTCATTGTGGTTTGCCTGGAATATCGTATTTTCAGCTGGTGAAATGCTCCTTTGGGTGTCCCCTGGCTTGCAGTGTTGCTGAGCAAAGGCAGAGCTGGTTTGGCCAGGCAGCAAGTCCCTCTGCTGTAGAGGAGATTTCAGCCAGAATGAGGGATTTCCATCACAGCTTGTTTGCTGCACCCTGAGCCTGCAAAGCACTCTGCCACAGCCCTGGGATCTGCATTAAGCTGCCTTTCATCCTCCACAAGATGGGATTTTCCAGGTTAAGGAAAACATGGTGGTAGCTTGTGTCTTGAGTGTGGGCCTGGGGCTGCAAGCCCCCCACTTCTTGCAGCAGCATTCCTCCTTTTCAGATACAAAATGCCATCTCCATTGCTGGTTGTGATACCAGCGTCTGCTCTGCCACCTCTGCCGATCCTATGTGGAGACACGGGGCAGTGTCAGACAGGAGCTGAAGGAGGTGGTGAGGGGGAGGCAGGAAAACGGTGTGTTATTGGCAAAGCCCTGGCCAACAGACACATATGCAGCTTGGGGAGAAATAACCTGATGCTTTTTTGGTCTTGGGTGATTCATCCTGGCCTTGGTAGAAAAACAGTCTCCAGCCTCATGCTATATGGGGGACACAGCACTGGGGCTGTGTGGCTTCTTGTTGGGATGCCCTGGTTGCGGCCAGCCCTCATCCTGTTCCATTGCTGCGGAGGCACAGCTGAGACAGCACCCCTGGGCAACTCAGCCTGATGGGGACCTGCAAAAGTCCAGTCTTCCTGCCAGGTGAAAATGTGCTTTTTCTCAGTGCAGGTCCTGATTAGCAAAATCGTGGTTGCCATGGAACCCAAATACCTGCTCAGAGAGTGTCTGCCCTCCTGGTCCCCCCCAGTAGATGTGGGGGACACATGCCGTGGAGAGAGGCCAATTTTGCTGCTCCTCAGAAAGCTGATTGCTTTTATCCCAGTGAACATTCAAATAGTCCTTTTTTTTTTCTTCTTTTTTCTTTTCAGCCCAGTTTGGAGTGGTGGAGAAAAGCTGTGGGGCTTTAGATGCAGTGGTTGCTGCAGGGAGAAACCCTGGGCTGGGAGGGGGCTTGTGGGGTGACTTCTGTGAGCAGCACCCAGGCCCCTGTTCCCACACCTGGAGACAGAATATCCTGGGGTACCAGCCCTGCATCCCACAGGGATGTGGTTAGCTGTCCTGGGGGAGCCAGAACTCCTTGCTGGCTCCTTTGCCCAGTGCCTGCACCCTGGAAAGGGTGCTGTCAAGTTCTGGCTGGTTCAGAAAATGGGACTTGGAAATCTAGAAAGAGCTGCTGCTACTGGGAGAGGTTAAGTTGCCTGTTTCAACTGCACAAGAGGGGAGAGGGAGGTAGTGATGCTGATATGAGATTTTGGGATCAGGAACAGTTTTTGTATAGCAGTAGAAAGCCTCTAGAAAGTTAGTGGCTGGAAATGCAGAGTGGTGACGCTAGAATTACTAGAGGAGGGTGTCCCACACCAGACAAGGATGTGTGAATGGGCTCTGCTGGGTAAGGCCAGCAGCGCTGCTTTGGGAAGGCCACACCCTGACCTGCATTCACCCCCAGCTACCTTACTGCAAAATTGCCGATCCGGGTCTCTATTTGGTGTCCTGCAGGTCTGAGTGGCCATTTCTGCCCTTGGGGACCAAAATGAGCATCCTCCTGCTCTGTGAGATGCACCCTCTGGACACATCACCTCCAGGTGACCAAAGAGGGTCACCTTTGAGTAGGCAGCTCCCACTGGGGAGAGAAACCCCTCTTCATCCCTGCAGCCAACAGGTTGGTTTGTTCTCCAAGGGGAGAGGGCTTATTCCTGTCCCAAAGCTTCATAACCCCATTCTGTCTGTGCCAGCTCTCCTTTCTTGGGCAGATTTGCTGCAGATACCCTGTGAAGGGGCTGCTCGCACTCTTGCTTCTGTGGCAGTGAGGGATGCACCCCGGGGGCTCTCACCTGCTCTAGGATGGCAAGAGGACAAGTGACTGTCTGTGCCTCAGTTTCCTTCTCAGATGCAGTGTTGCTCTGTGGCTTGGTGTCATTTTGTGCTCAGGACCATAGGGTGTTAATTAAAACTGCAAAGCGGGGGAAGAAGTGGGGGGATGGAGCACAGACAGCTCTGTAAAAGGCTGTGCTGGTCTGCCCTGCAATTATTGTGAGTGATGCGCCCTTGAAATAGCCAGGCATGGATGCAGTTGGTTATTAGGGCCGCAGCTCTCAAGCTTCAAAGCCACTGTTTGTCCTCTCTTTTGGTCCCTTAATTTTCCTGGCAATGCTGCGGAGCCAGCCTTGCCCAACCTCTGTGTGCCAGCCTTAATCTGCATGTGGAAGGACCTGGCCATGGGCAGGGACAGATTCTGCAGTGGCTGGCTCATGGGAAGGGATGGATGTGCAGCAGGGAGCAGGAGGAAGACTGGAGGGCAGGAAGATCGAGGAGATCCCTTGAGCTGGGGTTAGCTAAAGAGCCTCATGGGTGCCCCTGGCTTGCCAAGTTGCTGCTGAAATTTCCAGCCCAGCCCAGAGATGCTCTGGCCATGGAAACTCGTGGTGAGGAGCAGGTTTTGGTGTGCTGCCAGCCACCTCCCCCAGGCAGGCTTAATATGATAAAGTACCTGATAAGGGGAATAGGCTGGAGGGTCCTGCTCCCATGTGCAGTTTGTCTTCTTTAAGCAGCGGGGGAGCAGTAGTAGAAAGGAGTTGCTACCATCTGGTTATTTGGTTTATTAGAAAATTGGAAGCCAGAATGGATCAGTCTGAAGCACTGTCAGGCCTGTGAGGACTCGGGGTGGGGAGGGGGGTGGAGTAGCAAGAAAAAGAGATGCCAAGGGAAAGAAGTGGTGTCCTTGAGAGCCAGCAACTCTTCCCAAAGAGATATGACAGCAGGTGGGGTGGGAGCAGATGTTGAGGCCCCAGTTATGAGAGATGCTCCAGCAGGCTAATGGGAATGGTGGAGGAAAAGGGGAAGCAAAGAGAGAAGGACCCTTGGTCCAGTGGTTCTGGTGTCCCAGCAAAACCAGGGCTGGGAGAACTGGACTGCAGGTGAGCACAACAGGGATCTATTGCCGCCTGGAAACCAGAATGTGGCAACCTGGGGGGATGGATGGACCCATGGTTCGGCTCTGAGTGAACTCAGCTCTGCCTGGTCCTTGCTCCTCACGGACCACCCTTACCCACATGCCTGTTGTCTTTGGTTAGGGAATGAGACTGCAGGGAAACGGATGTTGAAGTCTGATAAGAGCGCAGCAGCATCTCCATTGTTCTGCTCCAACCCAAGCAGCCTCCAAATGCCCCAGTCCCCACAGATGTCCCCTCATCCCCATGGGACAAGGATGCAGATACAGAGCTCCAGGGGCTCCCCAGGGACTGCCCTGCAGCAAAGCTCAGGCACGGGCGAGGAATGGGACGGGAATGGAAGGTATTGTGGCTGCATGCAGGGAACAGCCTCTGTCCCAAGGACTGGGGAGATGGCTGTGCCATAGTGCACAGGGCCTGTGCTGGGAGCTGGCTCTGTGTGTGTGGCCAGAAAATGGGGGAGGCTGATGAGGGATGGAAGGGAGAGAAAGGATGGAGAATGAGCTACTTCCAGGAATGCTTCACCCCTGATGCAATCCCTCAAGTGGACTGTTGCTCAGGCTCCTGGTGCCTCAGTGGTACAGCACAACCTGACTCTGCACTGGGAGGGATCTATTCCCTGCCTCAGGGATCCCCTGGGGAAAACACAGCCTGTGTACAATCTGGAGGCAGGGATAGAAATCTCTGCCCATCAGCTACCAGTTCTGGCTCTGCCACCCAGGAGCTGTGGCCTGCAACATGCCAGCTCCCTGGTACTGTCACCCACCCTGGCATCTGCTGATCCAGCCCTGATGAGCCTCTGCCAGCATCACACAGCTGCTGTCCCTGCTGTCACCAGCCCTGTGACATAAACCCCTGGGTTTTTAGCATGTCTCCATCCCCAGAGGGGATGAAGTTTCTTTGCCTTCATCACTCCCATAGGAGTGGGCAGCACCTCTTCTCCCTCCCAGTTTCAAACATTTCCAACTTGGGGGTTTTTCCCCCTTGTATAATGTCTTGTTTATGCCCATTTACCCTCCAGCTCTTTGGCTTCAGTAGTTCCTCTCCTGCTTCAGGACATGATTTCCAGAGGAAAGTTATGTCTCAGGGCAGCCCTGGACCCTTCCTGCCCTCTGTGCATTCGCTCTGCCACTTTCTATTTGCAGCCTGTTTGCTGCTGGGAGCAGAGGCAGGGCCAGTTTAGGGCTACCAAACTGGTCCAGAGCTTTGCTGGTCTTGTCCTATCATCCCTTGCCTGCTCTGAAATTTCTTTGAGCAAAAGTGTTGAGCTCTGCTACAGACTCACAGTGGCCCTTTGGGGCTGGCACTGGTGTGCAGTGCCACAACGATAGCTCTGTTGGCATCCCCATGGTCTTTCTTCCCCCCATCACTGTCACACAGCAGGGACAGAGCTGAGCACAGATCTGTTGCTCCAGCACAGTGGGCCATGGACCAGGGAGGCTGTGGGCTGGCTTTGCCTTTGCTGCCAGCCCATGTGGAAGAGCAGGGTGTGCAGAGACCAGGCCAGACACTCTCAAGGTTTTTAGGGTATTTGCATCTTATTAAACTGTGGAGGAAAAATGTCTCTAGGGCTTTGGGGCATCCCTTGGGCTGGTCTGAGCACAGTGTCCCTGCCTGCCTCCCCATGAACACTGTCCTCTGCTGCTCTCCTTTGGATTTATTTCACTAGCTGGCAGGGCAATGGGGGGGTCACGTTCCCCCAGCGTGCAGCCAGCACCCCACAGCCCATGGGTGCTCTGGAGCAGTGTGCCAGTGTGTGCAGTCCTCATTGGACACTGCCCCAGTGTCAGGCTGTGACTGGTGTCCTTGGGGACATTTTTGCTCACCTGCATGCTGCCAACCATCTCTGGGTGCATCCAGGCTCTGTTTGCTTCCCTTTGCAGCAGCGGTGAGGCAGAGCACTCCCATGGCCCCTGAGTCTCCCTGGAAGGGGGGCACCACTGCAGCTTGGTGCCTCAGTTCCCCTCTTGGGCTGTGAAGGGAAGAGGGGTGAGTGGTGCTGCTCCCATCTGCTTTGTGCTCTGGCATCAGGAGCGGGGTTTGGGAGTGCAGGATCCCAGGGGCAGTGTCCTGGTGCTGGAGGCCACTGGATCCAGGCAGCTCCTTGCAGCCTGGCCACAGGTGCCAGGCTCAGCGGTGCCATGAGCTGTGCTGGGGCTCAGCCCGGGTGGGAGCCGGGGGTGAAGGGCTGGAGGCAGGCTTCTTCAAGATTCCTGTCCCTCCTGCTCGAAAATCCAGCCATTCTGGAGGCTTTTCCAGCTCCATCCTGGCCAAACCCCTCTGTGCAGGGTGAGGATGGTGCTGGCACTGGCTGAACGGAGGAGGGTCCCCAGGATGCCACAGCCTTTCAAGGTGTCATTCCGGGGGGGGGGAACAGGACGGGACGGGACACACCGGGTCCCCCTGGGCCCTGCCGCCCTCGGAGAGGCTGAAGGGAGCGATGCGTGTACCTGTGCCCAAGGGTGCCTGCCCGTCCCGCGGGCTGGCAGTGCCCCCTGCCGTCGCACGGCGCGGCGGAGCGATGG